CCTTTTCTGGTTGCTAGGCAACACCTCCTTCCCGGAGATGGACCAAACAGGTTTGGGGAGATACCAGAAAAGAAGCCTTCTTATTCCAGGTCAGCCCTACTGCCCCGCTGGACGGGGACAAGACAGGGGAGCCTCTCTCGGGGCCACCCACTCAAGAGGCATCGTTGTGCTCTCTTCTCCTGGGTCCTCGATACAATGGAATGGACCTTGAAGCCCCTGGGTGCGGCTGGTGTGTGTTACCACGTGTGGTCCCTAGAGGAATTCTGGCGTGCCCGAGGTCTCATCATTTGCGATCACTTGGTTACTGCATGGGACTGTCCAAGAGTCAAGTGTGGGTGGCTTCTGGGCCCCATCCAGTTTACTGGATACCAACTGAGAAATGTCGCTCAACCATGGGGACGCTTTTGTCCCCAGATTCAGTGGCTGCAGATTTCAAGCGTTTGCAGGATGCTGCTACAACCCCCCTCAAGGTTTTACAGTCCATTCATTGCACCGCTTAGACGTGTCCGCAGGAGAGGAGGAGGTGTGAGAGATGGAAGATCTGATCAGCTTTTGGGGCCACGCAGACCTGGTTGTGAACGCCAGCGCTGCTGTGTGCTGACTGCAGCCTTGGGCAGGCCATCTTCTGGGGCACGTTTCCTCTTCCTTTAAAAAGTGGATATTTTTCTCCCAGCAATTGGCCCAACAGAATTGCTTGCACAAAGGTGTGTGTACATTGTTTGTACTAGCAACGACAACAAAAAAGAGACACGATGTAGACCATTAATAGAGGACTGATGTTATTTTGGCATATCTGTATAATGAAATACTATGCGGGCATCAAAAAGAAAAAGATAGATCTATGTGAGTGGATGTGAGAAGTCCTTGATATTTTACCAAGAGGAACAAATTGATTAACCGTAAGCACACTACAAAAATCTAAGCGCGGACAGACCTGTGTCTATTGCAGTCATGCAGCGCACACACTATGAGCATTTATGAAAGTTTGAAACGTTAAGCTGTAAACAATGGTTAACCAAAACCTGGTCTGTTCCACTAATTCTCATTGTCTAAAATAAGACATTTAAATTTCTGATTTGTTCAAATCAGGATCCAAACAAGACTCCCACACCGCATGTGGGTGATGCTTCTGTCTCTTCTGATTTACAGCAATTCCTACAGCGTTTACTTGTTGAAAAACCCAATTATTTGTCCCGGGGACTTTGCTGCATTCTGGATTGGGTTGTCCTTGTCGGTAAAGGGTGATGAGGATTTTTAGGCTGGTTACTTTTAAAACTACAGATAAGAAGCAGGCTCCAAGGAGTGGAATTTGCTTGCCCTTTGATCAGAGACAGTTGCATTTGTGAAGGAAATCTCCATGCCTTCCTCTCTGCGCCAGGAGGAAGGGGAGATGGGCTTATCTCTGGAAACTCTTAATGGGGAAGGCAAGAACTTAAGTTGTTTACTGTCTGGCAACCTCATGTAACTGACCCCCCACCCCAAAATCCTCCTTTGTCTTTAGTTGAAGATAATATTTGAGCGGTGACTTCTGCCATTTACTCAATCCGGTTTGATTCTTATCTAAAAGTTGTGGGACCGCCCAATGGCCGGACCCTACTGGCACTGGTACCATTTTAACTTTTTTTCCTTTGTCTTGTAAAGAGATGACTCACATACCCATGCCTTAAATTTAGCCCTAACCCTCAACTCGGGGCAGCAGCAGTGGCTCTGACTGCCCATGGGCTCTGTCCCCATGCCAGCGGGGGCAGCAGCAGTGGCTCTGCCTGCCCATGGGCTCTGTCCCCATGCCAGCGGGGGCAGCAGAAGCGGCGGCAGCAGAAGCTCTGACTGCCCATGGGTCCTGTCCCCATGCTATTCTATACTATTCTCTAAATAAAAGAGCACTACTGCCAGATCTTGAGAGTCTAAGAAATCTTTCTTTCGACTCCTCGGCTCACCGACCCCGCATCAAAGGGTTGCTTAAAATATCCCTCCATCTCCTTTCTTTCCTGTAAAATGGGAGACCTGCAGACTGGCTGAAATGCAGGTTCAACCCTTTTGGCAAGAAGACTTCACAGGAGGGATTGGCTGCTCCCAAGGCATCACATCGAGAGGCCGGCGACGTCTGCGGGCCTCCGCTCTGCTGGGGGATGTTGAGGCTGACGCCTGGGTCGGGTGTTGTCAGCCTCTTCCCATCAGTCCTCCAGCCTGGGTTTTAGCGGCCATTGAGAATTACTGCTTAGCGCCATGTGTCACTGCGCCTTGCAAAAGGGCAATTGCTAAGTGTACCATTTCTTCTACATTTATTTGCTGAAATTCCTCTATCTTGGAGAACTTGGCTTCAACGCCTATCTGCTTACTCTGAAATACTGCTTTTATAGGAAATGCCAGATACAGGATTTATTCTGTCTTTCTAAAATAAATTTTCAGAATAATTTTCGGTGTCCTAGTACGCTCTATAGCTTTCCAATTGGACAAATAAATGGATATATACATATATATTTATTACATAAAACTTTGTGCATCTTTGTGCACATATGGATTTTTATATATTCGGTGTGTTTTGGTCTACAGCAGGATTTATTCTTTCAGAGGATGAAGCTGGGCTTCTTCCTGAGCGGGCATCTGTGGGAGCCCCTTCAGGTTGGCTCCCGTGTCCTTTTGCTATCGTCTCAGGAGACTTTGATAGCTTCCTTGCTCTGGGGCTCAAGATGTCCCAGACTCATCTTGCTTCTTTCCTGCCCCAGTGACCTCCCGTTCCTCCAGGAGTCCCTGGTCCTTTTTAGTGGGACATCAGATCTAGTGACCACAATCTGGGCTCCTGGGGCACTCATGGCTAATGGGTTGACACTGCTTCCCACTGCGGATGGAGCCCCCCGACATTAACGTGCAGAAAGCCAATTAGGGAGCTCTTTTGGGATCGGCACCTGTGGAGGGCAAGGGAGCAGGATCGGACTCAGGAAGACTTAGGCCATGACGCAATCTCAATGACCCAGAGGGAGCTCCCAAGCTAAGAGGGTCCGTTAGATCTGTCCTGAGTTGGGGCCCCCGGACAGGCCTTTATAGCCCTGGATCAACCAGTTACTACATGTGAGTTGCCTTGGGAAGGGGCCCTGACCTTGGTCAAGACAGTTCTCTTCAGCTGAGGCAATCCCCCAGCAAGGGAACGACAGGAGACGTCCCCAGAATTGCCTTCTGATTTTTCTAATTCTCTCCTCAACCGTGTCTAAGATTCTGTGTAACTTGCCCACTGAGTTTTAAATTTCCATTACTTGATTTTTTATTTCTAGAAGTTCTATTTATTTCTCAAGTCTATGACTTTCTTCTATTTTAGTAGATTCTCAATCTGTTCTCGTACTTACAATTCCCTCCTTTATTTAAGTATCTTAACTTGTTTTCTCTTGTAGTAACCAGGCTGCACGTTCCATCCCCAGGGCTTATTTACTCTATAACTGGAAGTTTGTACACTCTGACTCCCTTCACCGATTTTGCCCACCCTCCACCCCCACCTCTGACAACCACCAATCTGTTATCTGTATCTATGAGTTTGGTTTGTTTCTTTTAGATTCTACACATAAGGGAGATCGTATATTATTTGTCTTTCTCTGTCTGGCTCATTTCACTAGCCATAGATATTTTAAAGTTTCTGTCTGTTGGCTCCAACATCTGGGTCACATTGATGTGGATCAAGGCTGCCCCAGGGAGAGAAGCCCAAGGTGTCCTGGCCTACATGCCAATCTATATGACCCAATACATATCTAAAGTTATAGGACCACACAATAACCAGACCCCACCTGCACCGATACCATTTAGTGACTTTTTACATCATCTTTCCTTTGTCTAGTAAAAATAAGTCACGTACCCATGCCTTATAAATTTAGCTCCAACCCTCAACACGTTGCACCTCCTCACTGCCCGCGGGTCCTGTCTCCATGCTGCAACTCTTCACTGCCCACGGGTCCTGTCCCCATGCCTGCAGCTCTTTAGTGCCCAAGGGTCCTGTCCCCGTGCTATTCCACACTATTCTCTGAATAAAAGAGCACAACTGCCAGGCCTTGAGAGTCCAAGAAATCTTTCTTTCGACTCCTCGACTCACCGAGCCCACATCGATATCTGAGTCCAGTTTTGTTGATTGCTTTGTCTCTTAGCAATGGATTGATATTTCCCTGCGTTTTTGAATGTCGTAAGTTTTGTTGAATATCAGATATTGTGTATTAGTTGAAATGAACATGAACACTTTCCTCCTGGAAGTGGGTGTGTCTCTTCTTCTCTCAGGTCATCTGTGTCTGCCAGGGGTGGTTTGAATCAACCCTCTCAGAGGTTGACCTTGGTTTGGGTTTTGCTGTTATTGTGATGACCTTCAGGGTACCAAGGGCGTCAGATTCCTCCTGTGGTGGGCTGCCGGTGCCTTGTGCTTAGGGCCAGGGCTGGGGGTGCAGTGTTTTAACTCCACCCTAAGTTTTCAGCTGTCCCTGCGTGCTGGGCATATGGAGGGGACCTCGACACCCTTTCCTGGGTGGAGACTCATGCTGCTCATGCAGCTATGCTGGCCAGGCGAGTCGGGAGGCAGGGGTGCTCTCTGGCGTCCTGGCCCAGTGTCCGTCTTGAGCAGGCCCTTGTGCCTGGGACCTGGAGCAGGAGGCATTCTCACTGCCTGCCGCTCCTAGCTGGGATGGCCAGACTCTGCTGGCCGTCTGTGGCGGGACTGTGGGGGGGTTTCCTGGCCTCCCAGTGCTAAAAATCCTTTAAGGTACCATGTGGGACCGGGGGCCCAGGCCTGTTTCCTGTCCTCCACCCAGGGGGAGGGAATTTCCTCCTCGGCCCTTCCCCGTCCACAATGCGAGTCTCCAGGGCCAGTGTGGGGGCAGCACCTCCCCGCCGTGCACCCACCAAGGCGCCCCCACCTTCAGCTGAGCCATGAGGAAGGGGGCTCTGTGAGGAGGGGTTGCTGTGCTTTGATTCGTAAACACCTTCCAGGAAGGAACTTCACAAATAAACGAAGATAAAGTGGAGGGACAAGCTGCATTGAGAAGCACGATTTATTTGGCTCACGTGGGGGCTGGTTTCCTGCTGGAGACAGAGAAGGACCCTGGGAGCCAGGGCTTCCCTAAGGGGATGGGCAGGTCGCGGAGGGATCCAGATCATCCGGCCACATTCTCACCCTGGAGTTCAGAGGGGTCGGTGAGCACGCTTTCCATCTGCCACGTGCAGAAGCTGGAGGCCCACAGAGGACTCGTTGTGGGAGGGCTACAGGTGTGGACCCGTCTGCACTGATGCAGCTGAGAAGGGACTCGCGGTCAATAGCAGCAAGGGGAGCTATAGGAGATGGGTCTGCAGACCAGGGTGGGGCAGGACGGCTGGCAGCACACGGAGGACTGGCAGGGGGAAGACACAAGCACGGTGGGCTTGCAGCTCACAGGCACACGCACGAAGGACTGGCAGGAGGGGGCCACATACACAGCTGGTTTGTAGCTCACAGGTGTGCACACAGCTGGCTGGCAGCTCACAGGTGTGCACACAACTGGCCGGCAGCTCACGGGTGTACACACAGCTGGCCGGCAGCTTACAGGTGTGCACACGGCAGGCTGGCAGCTCACGGGTGTGCACACAGCAGGTCTGCAGCTCACAGGCACACAGCAGGACTCCTGGCAGGGCCTGGGTGAGCAGCAGGCGGCCTGGCAGCCTGAGGAGCAGCTGGTGTGGCACATGGTGATGTGGGGCTGGGCTGGTGTTGGCGTGGAGGAGGTGGTGTCTGCAGGCTCCTTCCCGGGGCGGCCTTTATACCCGACAGTGGGCGTCCTGGCAACACGGAAGCACACTGTTGACTTCCTCCTGGCTGTTTCCACCACGGTCTCCGCAGCTTCCTGTCCGGGGACGCACTCCTCTGTTACGCTCTACCATAAATCAGTTTGGCTTCAGGCCGATTCCTCCCTCTGTGAACAGGATGTCCGGGTTTGACCCCATGTGGGGTTTCTCCAGGCCATCACTGTGCACGCAGCCTCCACTCGGAGGACTGTGTCCTTTCAATCCTGTTTGTCTTGTGCCATCAGTGGAGACTTGGAGGCAATAATGTATTTTAGCTCTTATTCTGTGCAGGAACAAATTAAAGCAGGGCTCGCAAACTGAAGTCTGAGGGACGCAGCTGGCCTGCTGCCCGTTTGTAATAAAGTCTTATTGGACACATGCATGTACATGTCGTCCGGGGTGGCTTTTGCACGGCAACGCTGAGCAGTGATGGGAGAGACCACGCGACCACAAGGCCTGAAATGCTTACACCTGCTCTTCGTGGAGCGTTTGCCAACTCCTGCCTCATGGTCGTCTACACAAGAATTGATTTTTTCATGCAACAATTATATCCTGTGTGCTGGCCATAGAGACATCCTGGCCCCATGAGCCTTCCAGGGTCATGAAGAAATGAGCGAATGAAGAAATTCATGCATGAAAGAATTCCAGAGAGGGCTGAGTCCCGGGAAGGAAACAGGTTCAGCAGATAGAGAGTGACGGGGGTGCTGGGGGGTGGTCTGGGGGCCTCAGTGAGGAGGCCATGCAGAGCTGGCACAGGGGATGTGAAGAGGGGAGGGGACAGTGTTCCAGCAGAGGCAGCCGTGGGGGTGAGGTGAGGACACTGCTGCAGAAGCAGGTGTGGTCCAGGAGCCGCGGGAAATCCCACCGTGTGGGGCGCGAGGGTGCAGGGGCCGGTGGACAGACTCAGATCCTGCAACCCGAGGACCAGGCATCGCAACCCTGGGCTGAGAGAAGGAGAAGGAGTCGGTGACCTTGAGGACACATCAGTAGAAATCATCCAATCTGAGGAAGAGGGAAAAAGAGTAAGAAAAAGGAAGAGGGCCTATGAGACGGTGTCAGAAAGTCTAACCTACAAGTAATTTCAACGGAAGGAGGAAAGGAGAACGACACTGATGCACAAGAATGTTTTGAAGAATAAAGGACAAAATCCCAAATTTGATTTTTTTTTAAAAAAAGGCTAACATAGATTCAAGAGCCTCAGAAAACCCCTAAAGCCCCAACACAATTTGGCACAACGGTAAAGACCACAGATTCCGGAGGGAAACCAGGCAGCTTCAAACACTGCTTCTCTGTGTGCAGTGGCGAGAACGTGCCCCCATCATGGGCTCCTTCTAGATCCTCCTAATCGCACATCTGTACCAGTGGGGTATCACCACCCCTTGAACGGCGGCAGGACGGATCATTAATCAGTTATGAGACCGTCCACGTGAATGCTTGGCTCTGCACCCGACACAAAGCTGGAACTCGGTTGTTACTGCTGTTATTGCAACAACGTGGACCCTGCACAGTGAGGACCCAGCCCCGTGGCTCCTGTCCGCTGGGAAGACCTTCTGCATCACTCAGTTTCCAAAGCAAAATGGGGACCCTGGTGTGGCGAGTGTGACTGTGCTTATGCAGACAGAGGGCAGGGTATTCAAAATTGGGAAGGATCTTGAAAATCATGGTGTGTGGCCCCTTGTCCCCAGCTGATGGCCCCTCACCATCCATCCTGGATTCGACTCCAGAGTCACGTGGCCACTGAGTCACAGGGAGTCTCCAGCTGAGGAGGAACCTCCTGGACGGCGTCACTTCAACGAGAAACTCCAGGAGGAAACCCAAGGAGAGGAAGAGGAGGAAAATAAACAGGAAACCATGAGGAAGGCACCTTCATTGACAGGAAGGTGTGGATCGCGGCCAGGATGCCCGCAGCCTGGGTATAAAGGCCGCCCCGGGGCAGGAGCGTGCAGACCAGTCCCATCCTCCACCCTCAACCCAGCCCAGCCCCAGGCCACCATGTGCCACACTAGCTGCTCCACAGGCTGCCAGACAGCCTGCTGCGTGCCCAGCTCCTGCCAGCCAACTTGCTGTGCACCCGTGAGCTGCAGGCCCGCCGTGTGTGTGCCCGTGAGCTGCAGGCCCGCAGTGTGCGTGCCCGTGAGCTGCAGGCCCATTGTGTACCTGGCCCCCTCCTGCCAGTCCTCTGGGTGCTGCCAGCCCTCCTGCCCCACCCTGGTCTGCAGACCTGTCCCGTCTTGCACCCCTTCTTGCTGCTGAGCCTGTGGCCTCCCAGGACCCCTCCTCCATGTGGGGTCAGAAGCAGCTGGCTCTGAACTCCTCTGAGGCAGCCCAGACGTTGTTCACTTCAGACCTTCCGGACCCAACTAGACCACCTTGCAGCAAGGCCGCGCCATCCCAGGCAGCCAGGCTGAGGGGCTCACCCCCCAGTGTCCCCTGACTGCAGCCCGGGTCATCCACCTGGAGCCCACACTGGCTGGTGCAGCGTCCAGACTGCAGCCTCCAGCATCAAAGGTCTAATAAACACCATAGTGGATGCTCATCCCAGTGTGTGTGACGTCTCTTCTTAGTGTCCTTCCCTAACTGCTTCCCCAGGGTGGTTTCCTAAGGATTCCGGAAAGTTCCTTCTCTGCAGAGAAGGCCCAGTTTATCAGATGGCCGAGACCAGGTGGCTGACCACTCAAAGGTGGCCTCTTGGGCAAGTGGGCGTGCTCCTAGCACTCAGCCCGATGGGACCCCCAGGGCTCTCTTTTGACCCATTTTGTCTCTTGAACACAGTCATCTGTCCTATGGATTAGGACCCACCCCCCGGCCTCATTTTAACTTGATTACTTTGCAAAGACGCTATTTCCAAATCAGGTCAAGACATAGTGCTGGGGGTTAGGACGCCAACATCTCTTTTTTAAGGAGGACACAATTCAACCCCTGACGGGAGTCAGCTCAAAGCTGCAAGACCACACTGGCCCCTCCTTCGCCCACCCGCCTGGCGGTGCTGTGGGTCCTTGTGGATCTGTGGTTCCTCAGGAACAAGGGGACAGCAGAGTCCAATCTGAGAATCCAGTCCCACTGACTCTGCTACACAGGCAGGGCCCAAGTTCACAGAGGAAGGCCGACGCCAGGCCTGTGGTGGCCTTGCTCCCATCCAGGAATGACAGCAGCTGTGGAGGAAGGCGGAGCCCCCCCCACGTGGAAGATGCCTGCATCCTTCCAGGCAGAGGAAACCTGGCCCAGAAACCAGGGGCTGCCCCCGAAAGCGCTGGCTTAGCCCCTGTGGTGTGAACATGGGCCACTCCAGAGCCAGGCGCTGAGGCCATCCCGGGACAGGTGGGAGATGCCCGAGGGGTCACCGTCCTCAGCAGAAGGAAGACGGTGGCACACCAGGGTGCCTCAGGGGAGCTGTTTGGGAACCAGGAAATAGTCTAAGAAGAACACCGTCCGGGGGCCCTTCTTGCAGGAAAATACACATCTAGAAACTTCCATCATGGTGATGTCACAGGACAACGAGGACGTGAAAAGCAGAAGGAGTTCTTAGAGTGTCCACTATCTGCGACACTGACTCATCCGTTGTTTCATTCAAACCAAGCCCCTCCAGGCGGTTTTATATCACTTGGGTCCAAGCTGTGTCATCTCATGTCATGTCCTCGTCTCCCAGACACCCTCCCCGACAACCGCGGTGGCCGCCTTGGCTGGCCACCAGCACTGTGCAGGTTCCTCCTGTGATGCCTTTCAGGGCGGAGACTGTCCTGGTCTCAGTCAGGATGAGTCAGGATGATGGGGTGTCATGGGGTTGGGGAGCAGGAGTCGCGTTCACTGCTGACAGAGCGGCCCTGAGATCTGGACGGTCTCAGGGCATTTAGAGTCATTGTTGCATCACAAACATGTATTAAGTAAACCATCACCTCTGATCCTCTCCTTCCGCGTCAGCACTGCCAACCTGATCCACATAGACACCCACAGCCGCCGGCAGCCCAGCTTGTTTTTCCACTGGTGTCACATGGGCCACATGCGACCACGTGGTACCTGGCTGTGCCTGTCTGTGGCTGTAACTGACTTTCCCAAGAGGGTTCTGGATGTTCTGGTGCCGTGGGGGTCAAGGCAGGAGCACGTCCGTGCAGATGACCCGTCCGTCCGTCCTTCTGTTGGACTGTTCTGGTGTCACCGTGGGTGGTAAGTTGCTGGTCTCCACGTGTGTCAACATCCCTGCACTTCACTTTTTTGGGTTGGGGGTGAGGTGGGACCTTCTTCTGTGTCTTTCCTAACTCTTTGTGCCATGAAGAGTCCATCAAGGCCCTTGTCCATCTATCTATAGAGAGGGCCCCACTTTTCTTAAAATTCAGTGAACAAGTACGGGTACAGGTTTGCATAGACTCGGGCAAACTGAGGGATTTAAGAGTCAGACAGGGTTACAATGCAGCCACTTACTCTTTAAGTCCCTCTTAGGGTTTTCACTCCCTACCCTCTTCCTGGGGTGCAGCTCATCCTGGGTGGGAGAGGGACCTACAGCCCTGGGGAGGTGGCTTCTGTTCCGGGTCCCATCTGCCGCCTGCCTCTGCTGTTTGCCTGCTCCTGTGGGCCTCCTCTGTCTGTTCCTGGCCCAAGGGATGAGTACGGTACCAATGATGACCTGGTCCCTCTGACTGGTACCCCCTTGACTCTAGTGCCAGTGGTCCACTGAGACTGCAGGCTCATCCTCCCCCACTGTCCCATGGATTTGTTCACAAGGTGACTGTTTGCTCTGGGCCTCCTCAATGAGGCCTTGAAACCTTGAGTAGAACGAGTGATGTGGGAACTGACACCCATGACCCTCTTGGGGCCCATGGGAACTTCCGGATGCTTCAGAGCATGCAGGGGTCGGCCTCAGGCCCTGTGCAGGACCAGCACGCAGGCGCTTCTCCTCTCTGTGAGCCCCTCTCTCCAAGGGGCCTCAGCAGGATCCCCGACCACACGGGGTTTCTGCTGCTCCGCACTCAGATGCACACTGCACGGGCAAGGGGACGGTGTACACAGGAGGCCCAAGGCCCCTCGGGGTCCAAGCCTCCTGCACCCACGCCGGCCTTGGGGGCCAGCCCTGGAGGGCTCCCGACAGAGGGTGGGGGCCGTGGGGCGGGGCAGGGGACGGAGCAGGCGGATGCATCCTCTCTCAGCTCTTGGCGTCCCTCAGCTGTTTGAACCCGGGTTTGAGACCACGTCTTCACTGTCTGGTTCTACCAGACGGGGACCCGCTGCCCACGTGGGATGGGGCCTCGGGGGTGGGGGCTCAGGAGGAGGAAAGAAGAGACAGAGGGCCAGATTTCCTGACACAGATGTTGTATTGATTATAGCCATGGACGTTTGTCACTCCGAATGCCAGCAATCCATCCGCACAGGAGGTTCACGGGTCCCCCAGGCCCCTCCCGCTTGAGGGATCTGTGGGTCACCTCCTCTCAGAAAGGGACAGAGGCGGGGTATGCAAATCCCCGACGGAGACAGAGAGGTCTTGGCATCCGAGAGTCGGGCTCCTGGGAGGGACCTGCGCTCAGGAGCAGAGACAGCAGCTGGCGAGGCAGGAGCCGGACCGCTCAGCAGCAGGACTTCTGGGCTCGGGTGGGGCCACAGCGGGCCGCGCGGGAGCACGTGGGGTGGCAGAGCAGGGACACGCAGGAGGAGGGTCTGCAGCAGGACGCGGGGCAGGGGCTGGGCTGGCAGCACGAGGGGGCTGGGCAGGGGGTGGCCTTGGAGCAGACGGGTGTGCAGGAGACGGGCACACAGCAGGCCTGCTGGCAGGGGGAGGAGGTGCAGCAGGAGGGCTGGCAGCTAGACTGCTGGCAGCATGAGGAGTCTGAGCAGGGGGAGGCCCCAGAGCAGACGGGCACACAGCACACGGGGTTACAGCAGATGGGGGTGCAGGAGACAGGGACGCAGCAGGCCTGCTGGCAGGGGGAGGAGGTGCAGCAGGAGGGCTGGCAGCTAGACTGCTGACAGCACGAGGGCGTGCAGGAGCTGGTGCAGGCTGACTCGCAGGGGCTGCACACACAGCTGGCAGGGGTACAGACAAGGCTCAGGCAGGGGGCTGGGACGCAGCAGCTGGGGGCGCAGCAGGGGGGCTCGCAGCAGCTCTCTGGGTCGTCGTCCACCTGCCAGGAGGAGTCGGGGCAGGAGTCCCAGGCACCGGGCTGGCAGACCCGGCTGCCATAGCTGAGGTCGCTGGAGCAGACAGACAGGGTGGAGGCGGCCATGGTGGGGCGGTGGGGCTGGAGGAGGGTGGAGTGTGTGTGTGAGTGTGTGTGTGTGCGAGTGTGCACGGTGCCCGGGAACATGGGCTTTTGTACCCCTCCCTGGCTTGTGTTGTCCCAGGATGCCCTCCCTTCCGTGTTGATGCTGCGAGCAGACTGCAGGAGAGCCCTCATTACTGCTGGCTGATTTTCTACACTCAGTCCTTGCTCACTAAGCTCGTGAGTATGTTGCAGGGGGTGTTTGCCCATCTCTTCTTTGTTTGGCTCCAGAAAACTTGTGGAAACTGAGGAGGGTTCTTGCTGAGTGCCCGCCACAGGCTCGAAGTCTCGTTCACGGAGGGGCTGCTGTGAGATAAACTCGCAGCCCCCGCAGCCTCCCTCACCCCTGCGCCAGCGTGAGGATGCTACGGGCCAGATGCCAGCACCGCTGCAGCCCCAGCTCTACAGCACCTGAGAGGAAGGTTGAGAGGGTAGCGTTCAAAATAGCGAACAAAACAGTAAAACTTGACCAAAGGACACACACAGTGTCTGTCCACTGGGGACCAGAGATAGTTCATGGGCAGGGAACGCTGGGCTGTGTGGACCTCCACTCTCACGGGGTCAATCCATCACCAACGTCATCTCAACCAAAACCCAAAGGGAGTCTTTTCCATGTACACATTGAAGACAGAAAATATTTGTAATCTGCGTGATAGCTGAGAGGTTCATATGAAAACCTTAAAGTCCGTACAACTAAAACAGGATAAGATCCAAAAGAATGGAATACAAGATTCAAAATGTTCAAATTTCCAAGAAGCATGTGAAAACCTGCTTGATCTCATTAATCATTAAAGTTGCTCAAATTACAACCTAAATGTCCCACCTGTAAGATCAACCGAGATTTACGATGCTAACGATTCTGGGTGCTGTGGCGTCTGGGGTCCACACTCTTAGGAACACTTTGTAGATGTTTTGGTTTTTTTTTTCTGTTGTGATAACACATAATATAAGATTTACCGTTTTACCCATTTTAACGTGTGCCCTTCAGTGGCATTTGGTACAGTCACAATGTTGTGCCAACATGACCACTATCTAGTTCCAGGACATTCTCATCACCCCAAAAGGAAATCCTATACATTAAGTAGGCCCTCCCCAGCTCCTGTCAATCACTGCTCTGCTGTCTGTCTCTATGGAGTTACCTATTCGCCACATTTCATATAAAAAGAATCATACAACATGTGGCCTTTTGTATCTGACCTCTTTCACTTAACCTAGCGTTTTCCAGATTCATCCACACCTTAGCGTGTGTCAGTGCTCCATTCCTTTTTATGGCTGAATACTATTCCATCACGTGGATGTACCACCTTTTATTTATCCATTCATCAGTTGGCGGACAATCGGGTTGTTTCCACCTTTGGCTACTGTGAATAATGCTGCCATGAACATTTTTGTTCCAGTTTTTGCTTGAACACCTCTTTTCAATATACCCAGGAGTACAATTGCTGGGTCATATGATAACTCTAGGTTTAGATTGTGAGGAAGTGCCAGACTGTTTCCCACGGCAGCTGCACCATTTGACAATCCCACCAGCAGTGTGTGAGGGTTTCAATTTCTCCACATGCTCACCAGCACTTGTTATTTTCTGTTTTTCTTTTTTTTTTTTAATTATAGCCTAGTGGGTGTGAAATGATGTCTCACTGTGGCTTCGATTTGCTTTTCCCCAGTGACCGAGGATAGTGGGCTTCCTTTCATGTGCTTGTTGGCTATTTGATTATCTTCTTTGGAGAAATGTCTATCAAAGCGCTTTGTCTGTTTTTAATTGGGTTGTTTGTCTTTTTGTGTTGATTGTAGGAGTTCTTTATGTATTCTGGATACTAAACCCTTACAGAATTACAACTTGCAGGTATTTTCTCCTATTCCATGAGCTGTGTTTTCACTGTCTTGATAGTGTCCTTTGATACACAAAATTTGTCAATTTTGACTAAGTCCAATTTATCTATCTTCTCTTTCGTTGTTTGTGCTTTTGGTGTCATATCGAAGAAACCATTGCCAAATCTAAGGGCATGCAGGTTTACCCCTATGGTTTCTTCTAAGAGATTTATAGCTTTAGCTCTTGTATTTAGGGCTTTGATCCATTTTGAGTTACTTTTTGCATATGGTGTGAGATAGAGTTCAACTTCTTTCTTTTGTGTGTGGAGATCCAGTGGCCCCAGCACCATTTGTTGAAGACACTATTCTTTCTCCATTGAACGGTCTTGACACTCTTGTTAAAATTCAATTGATCACCGATATATGGGTTTATTTCTAAACTCTCAATTTTATTCCATTGATCTACGTGTCCATCCTTATGCCAACACCACTGTTTGGATTACTGTAGCTTTGTAGTAAGTTTTCTTTCTTCCTTTCTAATTTGGATGTCTTCTATTTCTCTTTCTTGCCCAACTTCTCTGTCTAGAACTTCCAGTACAATGTTGAACATAAGTGATGAAAGTGGTCACCCTTGTCTTGTTCCTGATCCTAGGGAGATAGCTTTCAGTCTCTCACCACTGAGCATGATGTTAGCTGTGGGTTTGGATAATGCCCCCTAGTATGTTGAGGAAGTTCCTTTCCATTCCTAGTTTGTTGAGTGACTTTATCATGAAAAAGTCTTGGTTTGGCTTTTGTCAAATGCTTTTTCTGCACCGATTCAGATGATCGTGTGATTTCCCCCCTTCATTTTATTAATGTGATGCATTACACTGATTGGTTTTCACATATTGAGTCACTCTTGCATTCTTGGGACAAATCCCACTTGGTCGTGGTGTACTATTCTTTTAATGTGCTGCTCGATTTGGCTTCACTGTATTTTGTTGAGGATTTTTTATCTTTATCTATAAGGAATATTGGTCTGAAGTTTTCTTTTGTTGTTTTTCTGTCTTCGATATCAGGATAACGCTGACCTCATAGAATGAGTCAGGAAGTGTTCCTCATCTTCTGTTTTTTTGGAAGAGTTTGAGAAAGGTTGGTGTTAATTGACTTATAAATGTTTAGTACAATTCAGTATTGAAGTCATCTGGTCCTGGGCTTTTCTTCTCAAAGAGGTTCTTTTAAAAAAATTATTCTATTGAGGCCATATTGGCTTATAACATTGTGTAAGTTTCAGATATACATTGTTATATATCACTCTCTGTATAGACTGCATTGTGTTCACCACCAATAGTCTAGTTTTTATCTGTCACCATACATATGTGCCCCTTTACCTCTTTTGCCCTACCCTACCCTCTTGCCCTCTGGTAACCACCGGTCTGGGAAGTTTTTCCTTACTGATGCCATCTCCTTATTGTTTTATGTCAGCTCAGCTTGTCTAGTTCTTCTTGAGTCGGTTCACTCACTTTAGAGACCAAGATACAAATAGATCGAAAGAGAAAGGATGGAAAAGGATAGTCATGCAAATAGTAACCGAAAGAGAGCTGGATGACTATAATAAAATCAGATAAAACAGACTTTGAGTCAAAAATTATTGTAAGAGACAAATAAGGACATTAAATATTGATAATACTGTCAATATACCAAGAAAATATGACAATTATAATCACGTATGCACCTAGCAACAGCGCCCCAAAATAAATGAAGCAAAAATGACAAAATTGAAGAAAGAGACAGTTCCAGTTCCACAATAATAGTTGAAGACTTCAAAAAAGTCATTTTCACTAATAAAAAATGAAATAATAGAACAACTAGATCAAAGATCAATAAGGTGATGGAGGAGTTGAAGAACACTATAAACCAACTAGACCTGATAGACATGTACACGACACTCAACTCAATGACAGCAGAATACACATTCTTCTCAAGTGCATGGGAAACATTCTCCAGATTAGACCACGTTAGGTCACAAAACAAATCTCAACAAATTTAAAAAGATTGAAACCATGCGAGGTATCTTCTCTGACCATGATGGACAGAAACTAGAAATCAATAACAGAAGGAAAACTGGAAAATTGACAAATACGTAGAAATTGAACAAACAATCAATGGGGCAAAGAAGAAATCACAAGGAAAGTTAGAAAATACTTTCAGATGAATGAAAATGAAAACACAACAAAGCAATACTTATGGGACACAGCCAAAACAGGGCCCAGAGGGAAATTTATAGCTGTCAACAATTACATTAAAAAAGAAGAAAGGTTTCAAATCAATAATGTAACTTTATACCTTAAGGAACTGGAAAAAGAGCAGACTAAACCCAGAGCTGACAGAAGGGAGGAAATAAAGATTAGAACACAGGTTAATGAAATAGAGTCTATAAAAACAATAGAGAAAAATCAAAGAAAACAAAAGTTGGTTTTTTGAAAAGAGCAACAAATTTGGCAAACCTTTAGCTAGACTGACTAAGAAAAAAGAGAGGAGATTCAAATTGCTGAAATCAGAAACAAAAATGGAGACATCACCACTGACCTGACATAAATAAAAGGATTATACTAGAGTATTATGAACAACTGTGTGCCAAAAAATTAGATAACCTAGATGTAATGGGAAAATCCTTACAAACACTCAAACTGCTGAAATGGACACGTTTACTGATGTTCTTTATTTCTTCATATGGCCTCAAGTTACTGTTTAGTGCCCTTTTATTTCAGCCTGAATGGTCATTTCTTGTAGGGCACGTCTAGTAGAGATGAATTCCTTTAACTCTTATTTATCTGGAAATGTCTTCATTTCTTCTTCTTTTTTGAAGGATACATTTGTTGGATATCGACTTCTTGGTTGACATTATTTTCTTTCAGCACTTTAAACATGCCATCCCACTGCTTTCTGGCCTCACAATTTCTGATGACACATTGGCAATTGACCTCTTGCTGCTTTTAAGATTCTTTGTCTTTCGATCGTTTGAGTATAACAAGTTTCAGTGTGGATCTCTTTGAGTTTATTCTACTTGGAGTTCATTAAGCTTCTTGGATGTGTAGATTCATATGTTCCCTCAAATTTGGGAAGTTTTCAGCCATTATTTCTTCAAATATTTTTACTCCTTTCTCTCTTCTCTTTCTGGGATGCCTGTGAAGTGTATGTTGGTATGCATGATGGTGTCCCACAGCCCTCTTAAGTTCTGTTCCTTTTTTC